AATGTGTAAAGGTTGATTTACTCATCTGCCCTCTAAGTGTTTGAGGGAAAGGATGTATGTGACCCTGGATGAGTCAATTAGCTTCTTTTGGCCTATTGCCTAGTCTCTAAAATGAAGAAACTAGAAGAAACTAGACTAGATGGTCTCTAAGGTTCCTTGCATCACCAAATCTTATTCTTTGTAATATGACCCATTTCTTCTTTAGTGATATTATATGTTAGAGAAGATGGGCAGATTTCTTTTCTCAAATTGTGAGTGAAGGATACATTTTAGGGGGCCTGAGCTCTCTTTCATAGCCTAGATGCATATCCTCCTTCAGAATTTTTGAATAAAGTTTCTCTTCTTTTCAGACTACTATGAGACTAAGTGACTCTTCCCCCAGTTTCCATCTCCTTTGCACCACAAAGCTGTCTGAGTCAAAGTAGCCAGAAAATCTGTGGCACAAACAGGTTGTTCCATTTAACTGTGCATTCTTAGCAAAGCCACAGGAGCGCACATTTAACTGTGCATTCTTGGGAAACTCTGCATTTCTTAGGAAAGCTCTGTAGGAGGTCATATTGATTGTGGCATAGAGTAGCATCAGAGGCCAGACAAATTGAAGGTCAGAGAAGTTCAGGTGCTCAGGTTATAAACTATACTTTCCTTGCCAAAAGAAGTTTGCCCTAGGTGAACTGTTCTAAGGCCCTATACCTGGTCCTCTTGTTTCTCAAAATAATTTATAAAACTCTGCAGAAAGAGGAAGAGGTACAGACTGAAGATCAAGGATTTCTTCAAAAACTACATACACATTCTAAACCTAGGTCAGTTATGTGGCTGTCCCTTCATTCACTCCAACAAAAGTTGAATTTTTAATTCAAATAAAACAAAGGAACATGTCACATACAATATTGGCATGCATACATATTAACTGCATGGCAAGTCATGTTGCCAGATTCTTGGAATATCCAAACTAATCCCTAGTTGAAAGTCAGGTAATATTTACCATCCAGAAGTAGGTATGGTATTGGGAGAACTTGGATCCTGAGGGTGAGTGCATTATTAGAGTGATGCTACAGTGTACATTTATTTTTATAGTGCCAAAGGAGAGCATGTCCTTGGGGGCTATGTGAGTTCAAATCCTGACTGTGGCTAGTCTTTTCTTTATGGAAGTATATACTTTGAGAGGTGGGAGCAAGGAAGTCAGAACACCAGTGACCTTAGCATGTGAAGATACATCCTTGAAGTGACAAGAATACTATAGGTTTAAGACTTGGAGGACAAAGCAGAGTACCAAGAGTGTTTTTAAACATATGAGATAATGCATAGGGATGTAGAGGATACCTGCGTGGGGGGGGGGGAGAGAAAGAGAGAGAGACAGAGACACAGAGAAAGACAGAGACAGAGAGAGAGAAGCGGAAGTAGAGCAACAGATGGCACAGTGGATAGAGTGCTGGACCTAGAGTCAGGAAGACTTATCTTCCTGAGTTCAGTTCTGGCCTCACACACTTACTAGCTGAGTGACTGTAGGCAAACCACTTAACCCCGTTTGCCTCATTTCCTCATCTGTAAAATGAGCTGGAGAAAGAAATGGCAAACCATTCTAGGATCCTTGCCAAGATAACCCCAAATGGGGTCACAGAGAGTTGGACATGATTGAAAAACAACTGAACAAAAACAACAAGGTGGAAGAAGACATTTTAAAAATCTTTTGTCCCATCTTGTGATTCCGTTAGTGTAAGACCTCCCTCCTTAAAATCAGCAAGTGTTCTGCATCTAGTTTTAGAAAGCTGGTTGGGCCACTGAAAGATTAAGTGAATTATTTGCTCAGGGTCACATAGCTAGCATAGTTAAAGGCAAAACTTGAACTCAGGTCAACCTGAATCCAAGGTCAGCTCTATCCACTATACTATGCAGGTTTTCAGGGGATGGCTAATAAAATGAAATAAATTTATGTAGTGTGTAGTGGCATGAAAGTCACTCCTTTGAAAACATTTTCTGTCTGTCAATTCCCTCTTCTCTCATTTTCTACATTCTATTAATAGCCTACACACTGTCATTGTGATTTTGCCTTCTACCACAGCTCTTACTTAAAGATGGTATCCTCTCCATCTTTGCCAATGATACAAATGAAGAACCACCCATTGTTAGGTAGGCCACAGAGAAGGGACTAGAAATAGAAATTCTCTTTCTTTGACTCTTAGGTTAGTCCATATACTCCCAGCCTGGCAGGTCTTCAGAGCCCAGCTTCCTATCATGGTATTTGGAGCCTTCCTTTTCATAGACCGTGGCCCTAGTGGGAAGGTCAAAGACTAAAGTTCTGAGGGATATTACTTTCCATGCTCTATCTTTCACGTCCCTTGCAAGCTCAGCATCCCCTGTGTGAAAGGAGCTATGTGAAAAGGCTTGGTCACTTCTCCAGCTGTGACTTCTACCCTTTTTCCTTTTCATCTCTCCCCGCTCTCTGTACGGAGGGAGACATCAGCACAAACTGCCTGCAGAGATTGTGGGAAGGGTGGAGGAAGCTATCCAGTCCCAGCCTGATAGCAGAAAGAGGCTCAAACACAGCTCATCATGGGAGGCTTTGGATATGGCCCTGGCTCCTTTATCTCTGGGGAAGTCAGGAGCATTCTTGTGCTTCATTAGCTGCAGATGGGTTGCACCTGCTGGCACCCTGCTAGGAGGGCAGTATTCACAGCAGCAAGGCTGGGAACAGTAGATAGACAGTCCCATTCCCTGGGTCTTTGACTTAGGACCACAACTGTCTGAGTTTGGAACTCAATGTGAAGAGAGTGCCCATGATTCAAATATACAAAACCCAGAAACTGGTGTGTGTTGTTTCTATCTTTGTGTCCTAGAACAGGGCATAGCACTTGGTAGAAATTTAATAAATGATTGTTAAGTTGACTGAATGATGAAATTGTGGTTACACTTCCCTGAATCTAAAACTTTTCCTTTATTTTCTCCATTCCCCTCTTTGCCTTATTTTCCCCAGATGAATTATTTGCCTTCTGCTGTTTCTCAAGGAAGCCTCACCTTCTATTCCCTCTCCCCTAACCTCCTGATCAACCACATGATTCTCACATTCAAGAGCTATTTGTATATTATTATAGACCGCCAACATTGTTGTTACCTCTCATTTGGTATCTATACCACATCTTTCTATTACTATCTCCAAATCTTTATTGTTATTATATATCTGTTAACATTGCTCAAATCCCTTCACCTATGTGCATATATGTATTGACCGTATAGTAGGCAAGATTAGGGCAGATTTTGGGGAGAGGACAAGAAATAGGGCTCCTTGTCCTTAAAACTCTAAGCAATGGGGTTCTTGATTCCTTACACCATCATGATTATTCCCATGGAGACAACTGAATTCTAGATTGTCCCATATGAGACAGGAGATCCAGCTCTGCTCTTATGTATAGTTAAAGGGAAAAGTTTAAATTCTTGGGGAATAAACTGTTGTAATTTCTTTACAGTCATGTATTTGTTACCAGAGGGCTAGTAATAATAACAATAATAATAACTAGAAATAACATAATGCTTTAAGATTTCCAAAGTGCCTTTCAACTATTTTATCCTCATAACAATTCCATTTTACAGATGAGGAAACTGAGGCAGACAGGTTACGTGACTTGCCCAAAGACACACAGCTAGTATCTGAGGCCAGATTTGAACTCATTGCTATCATTTATCTGTCAACTTCCCTCACATCCATCCATCATCTCCTATTGCCATGAACCAATTTCTAGCCCTCATTACCTCTTTAACCTGGATTATTGTAATAATCTCCTAAGTGGCCTTCCACTCTTGTCTCATTTTTCTTCAATGCATATTTCACACCACTTCCAAAGTAGTCTTCTTAAAACTAGCCAGATTCTTCTGTTCCCCTGAGAAAAAGAAAAAAGAAAAAGAAAAACACTGTGCCTCTGGCTCACTCACCTCTACCATTACCTACCATTACCTACCATGTTTAAAGTTCATGACCTCATGCCACCTTTTCAACCTTATCTCAAATGACTCCCAGTCATGATTCTAGCCAAAGTAGACTACTCGCCATTCCTTAATCTTGCCCTGTTTTCAGTTGCTTACCTTCTTCCATTCTTTTATTTCTGCCATCCTGTAGGGCGTGAATGCACAGCTAAGTGCAGTGGATAGAGCACTGGGCCTGGAGTCAAGAAGACTCTTTTTCTTGAATTCAAATGTGGCCTCAGGCACTTACTAGATGTGTGACCCTGGGCCAGTCACTTAACCCTGCCTGCCTCAGTTTCTTCATCTGTAAAATGAGCTGGAGATAGAAATGACAAACTGCTCCAGTGTCTTCAACCAAATAATATCAACAAATATGACTGGAATAGATTTTACCCTTCCCTTATCACTCACTCTACCTCTGCCTTTCTCTTCAAGGCCTGAACTTGGGTGACCATCTCCACCAAGAAGCCTTCTTTAACTCCCCTCCCCTACCTCTTAACCTGAAAGTGATCATTCCCTTCTTGAAATGGTCACATTACTTTCTTTGGAATTCTGTGATATATTGTAAAGTACCTAGATTTGACTCCTGGCTTTAATATTGTCTAGCTTTGTGACTTTGTATAGGCAAGTTGTCTAAACTGAATGAGCCTTAGTTTCCTCATCTGTAAAATGGGTATAAAAATCCTTTTATTTGTGCATTCTCTCTATATTGTTATTAAGCTGAGCCACCTTTCCCCAAAACATCTTTAATTTACAAAATTTCTTTTCTTATAGATCCAGCACTGTTGTGCCTAGACCAATGATTCATGACATCTGTGAATCAAGATAAACCATATTTCAACATTTGCTTGTTAACAGAAGTATATTGACATTTTTTTTTCATTTTTCCCCTTGAAATTTGAATGTTCTCTGCTGATTCTAACTTTCTCAGGTAACCAGTTCTCCTGTGTGCATGGACATGAATGGGATGTCTGTCCCTGCCGAGTTCTTGTCCCGACACAACTCTGAAGGAATCATCACATTTGTGGATCCAAGATGCATCAGTGTTATTGGCTACCAACCACAGGTCAGTAGGTGATGTAGTACTCATGATTCTTGGCTAGGACTATGTAGAAAATCCATCTTCCCTAATGGACAATAAAAAGTGTTTATTCTTTGCTGGTGACAATATCAACACAGTGTTGGGAAGCAAGCCTCCTTAAACAATATGCCCATCCTAGGTAAAGTATTTTGCTAGGTGCACCTTGACGTCTTAAGCAACTCCAGATTAAAACCTCTCTCAAACCATGGAATGACATTATACATAATAGAATCTTATCATCTGTAATACCAAGAACACCTATATTTGTAGCAGCTATGAATTCCTTGCTTGTAACCACATTACTCATATGGATCTTTTATTGCTATAGCTTTTTCAGCTAAAATGTTGGCTCAAAACTTCTGAATATCCAAAGGGAATTTATCTTGTCTTTTGGATAAAGTTGATGGGCAAGTTGTTTTATTTCCCATGTACTATAACATTATATTGGTGGGCAGCTAGGTGGTTCAGTAGATAGAGCACTGGCCCTGGAGTCAGGAGGATCTGAGTTCAAATCCAGCCTCAGATGCATAGTAGTTGTATGACCCTGGGCAAGTCACTTAACCCTGTGTTCCTCATCTGTAAAATGAGATAGAGAAGGAAATGACAAATCACTCCAGTATCTTTGCCAAGAAAACTCCAAATGGTCATGAAGAGTTGGACGGGACTGAAGCTACTCAACAACAAATAACATTGTATTAGCAGAATGCTGTCTTAAAAGCCATGAGAATAATCCATTTGTGCAACCACATTGGCCACAAAAGATGCATATTTTCAGGTTGGGGAGGTTTATATCCAGCTACTATTTTCCCAATTTTGTCAGTGTAGACTCAAGCTTAGCTGCATTCTGTAGATTTGATCAGGGAGTAAATAGAGTGGTTTGATTGTTTTGGGTTCACCAAGTAATAATGTCTCCCTGTGCCTCCACTTGAATTCAGTGGTTTGATTTTATATTGGTGGATTTCTGTACACAAGTATTCATCTATTATGTTAGATATTTTCTTTCAGGATCATGCTTGCTCTTTTGAGTAAACTATCAAATAATGGAACTAGGTAGTAAATGTTCTCTTAACTACAAAATTGTTTCATGTAGAATAACGTTTTTTCATCCCTAAGAGAACTACAGTTTCCACATTTAAACAATTACAGTTTTCATAAGCAACACATCCTGTCTTCACTGGGTCATTTTACTTGCTTTTAATGTTTATTGGAAACATGTTTATTATATTCTGTTCCTCCAAAGCAAACAGAAGGTAAAAATTCATCTTCCTAGAAAACAGTTCTTTGGGCTATTAATGTATTGCCATATACAGGCACTGATCTTGCTGTCAAATATGTCTGAAACATAGTATTGTTAACAGGAAGTTTAATACAGACACCAGGAGAAGATTCTTAGCTGTAATTTTAAAGAGCATCTAAGGGGGACTAGTAGGCATGGAAAAAGACGGGACAAACAGCATTTCCTTATTAACAAAGAAATGAAATGTGAACAGTGGAAGTTGAAATTGTGTACTGAGGCTTTTCTTTTATGTCTAGGATCTTCTGGGAAAGGACATTTTGGAATTCTGCCATCCTGAAGATCAGAGCCATCTAAGGGAAAGTTTTCAGCAGGTACTATCCTAAAAATGAGTCCATAACTAGTGCATAAATCTGAATACTTTTCCATATGGCCAACAAGATGAGTTTGGGTGTATAGTAATGCGTGTGTCCATGTCTAGTACATAAATAACTGTCCCCTAATTAAGCTTGTACTAAGAATAGAGAAAATTTGACTCCATTTAAAATTTATGAAAGTATATATAACGGAGATGTGTTGGTAAATGTTTAACAACTGGCTGTCTCGGAGGGAACAAGTGCGTGTGACATACTTTTAAGTTTAATCTGCATTAGTAACATTTTCTTCATCACTTTCTTAAGTCTAGACAATTATCAAAAATTAATTTAGGCCCTGATTTATAGTGTTTGCTAATTTCCAGGGTGTAAATGTTCCCACTGAAAATTTAACAATCAGCTCTCATGAACCAGTTCCAGCTGGCTCTAGCACACCTTTGAATTATATGATATGTTTATAACCAAAGAATTGGGAGGGACCTCAGAAATTATCTAGTCAAATCTTCTTACTTTACTTCTCTGTGCACATGTTGTCCTCAAGTAGAATGTAAGGTCTCCAAGGGCAGGTTCTGTTTTCCTTTTGGGGGACTTTGCACAGTGCCTTTTATGAAGTGGTGCTTAGTAAATCTCTGTTGGATTGGATTGGATTGGGTTGAATGGATTGGAATTTTAATCAGAAGGAAAACCTGGCTTGGAGTATATATTCTGAATGCTTCGACTGTTTGTTACAGATCTGTGCATCTAAAGCTATGCTGTACCTCACAGCCTCCCAATATAAAGTACTTCTGCAACAGTTAACGTTTTCAAGAAAATTTCTGCCTACACCTGGAGGTGCTTCCCACACTTAAAACACAGCAATGATCCATATATATGAATGCCTATAAGGGAAGGCCAAATCTAGAGTTCCTTAGTCCCCATAGGGACCTTTGCCTTTTGTTCTCCAGATTAGAAGACCTAGAGAAAGTTGACATAGATAAACTACTTCTCATACGTAGTTCATAATAGGATTACAGAATTTAGAGGTGCTCTAGTTTACCTTCCCCCCACCTCCATCCTATTTTTCAGACTAGGAAACTGATGCCCAGAGAAGTGAAGTGACAAAAGCTAGGTCTTCTGAAGCCGAATTTTTTCTTTTTCTTAAGTATTATTGATATCCCTTGATTTTACATGGACTTCATTCCCAAATGTACTCCATATATTTCCTACCCAGTAAACCATCTTTTGTGACAAACAATGAAAGAGGAAAAGTAAAGTTCAGGGAAACTAATCAATGCATCACACAAGTTTGACAGTATGTCCAGTGTTTCACATCTCCTGTCTCTGCAAAGATGGGAAGAAGGTGCAGTTTTTCATCTTTCCTGGGGCCAAATTCACTAACCTTTCTACTATGCAAAAATAAATGTCTTTTGAAAATGTACAAATATTTGTAGGTGCCTTCTAAAAGTTTCAGGAGTTCACAAGGTAAAGGGATCCCAGGAATACCTACCCTGAGTCAAAAGACCAGGGCCACTGCTTCGCCCCTGCAGCCACCTATCTATATGAACTTGAGCTCAGCTTCCTCATCTGTAATGTAACCTATACGAGCTTTGGGAATCCTTATCCCAAACTCCCCTCACACTAACAAATCAGGTTCTCAGAGAGGTAATAGCAGGCAATACCTCTCCCTCAGAGTTCTTCAGGTTCCCCTTAGGGGTTGAAGATATATTGCTAATGCTTTTGGCTGGAGCCCCCATTGCAATGTGCTGTTACCAATATTAATTGCCGGGTCCCTTCAGTATCATCTAATCAGTGACTATCTCATTATCACCATATCTCAGTGTCCCCAGTACCTCTTCCAGTGATATTTAAGTAATTAACTTTCAATGTCAATTCAATTAAGCATTAATTTCCACAAGCGGTTATTTATAGTGAGAACAGAACTTTAAATATATACCCACCCACTCCTAACTGGGAGCATGGTCTCCCTTAAACCACCTCAGTTCCTGAGGAGATTGGGCTCTAGCTTAAAGCATCTGTCCTCAACAACTTCATTTCTGAATGTGGCTTAGCTGAGGCATAAGCACTTCTCATGGTTGCCTTCAATCCAACACTAAACTGAATCTAGTAGGTCACCCCTTCCTAGGATTAGCTGTCCAGCTTGGACTCTAGTTCCTGGACTCCTGGTGCTTTCCCAGCCTTTCAAAGCTTATAGGGTCATAGTCTTCTCTGTTCCGGCTCCAATACTCCTTCTAAGAATAAGAATAGACAGATTCAACAGGGACAGAAGCAACAGCAGGGTCGTGAGCTCATGGCTTCATGTTAGTTGATCTTTGTGGGAAGAATAAGCCACTGGTACTCTCGCCACCTGGAGGCGCATACAGCAATAATTGCTTCCTTGCTTGAATGTAACCAGGAAAAGAAAGAGCAGTTTGGCCAATTAGTTTCTTTTTGATGTGCTCTTAGTCCCAGTCCAGCAGCCAGCCCAAAGGCCCTTCTTCACAACATGGTAAGTGGACAAGAAGCAGTTACAGAATACTTGTTTATGCTCCAAAGTCCACGTGAGGGATTGCATCAAGCAGAGGTTGCAGCACATGCTCATAAGGGCTGGTTTCTCATTGACCAGCCCCTGTTACTGTAAAATGAAGGAGCTGGACATTAAGATCCCTTCCAATCTGAAAGTTAGATGTGTACTTCTTGGGCCTTGTTCATTGGTAGAGCCTGTTCTTAATAGCCATAAGCAGAAGAGGTACCATCACTGAGCAGGGGGCATGAAGGTTTGGAGAAAGCTGTGCCAGTAGTGGACAGTGTTGGTCTTGGAGTCAGGAAGGCCTAGGTTCAAATCTTGCCTCAGACATTACTAGCTATATGACCCTGTCAAGTCACTTAACTCCTGACTGCCTCAGTTTCCTTAGCTATAAGATGGAGATAATAGCACCTACATCACAGGGTTGGTATAAGGATCAAATTATATAATATTTGTAAGTGCTTAGCACAGTGCCTGGCACAAAGTAGGCACTTTATCAATTCTGGTTTCCTTCCTTCCTAGCTGAGTTAGAACATGGCCCACATTTTCTCATAGAGATAGAGTTATAAAAAGGGTCATTGCCTGTCCATCCTGGAAAGAGTAATGAAGTGGAAATCAGGGGACCCAATTCTAGCCTTAGTTCTGCCACTAACTCAGTGGGTCTGTCACTTTATTTCTCTAGGCCTTGGTTTGCTCCTCTATAACATCAGTCAATTGAGTGTGATCATTTCCAATGTCTTCCAGCTCTAAAATCTCTGGTTATAGTACATGGAGTAAATGGGATTTGAAAACTGTTCTAATCATCATTTATGGCATGGTTTCCATGGGGGAAATGAATTTTGAGTTCCAAACAGCTCAGTTGGAAATTTGAAACAACCCAGTGGTAAATGAGGACTGCCTAAGTTAGTTTTTAACTCAAATGCTTCACAGACTAT